AATTCTCTCCGAAAGAAACCCCCTCCCGAAACGGGTATTGTAGGATCCGACCCTAAAACCCGTCCATCCATCCATCAAAACCCCATTAATCGTCAGTCTCCCACCTGCAACGAAAACCCTTTCTGCAACTCTCCTCTCCTCTGCTCGCTCTCTCTCTCTCTCTCTCTCACAAAACCGAAAACCCTAAAAATGGGGAGCCGCCTCGGCCGTCGGGTTGTCCATTTCCCAAACCTCCCGCTAAAGCTCCTGCTCCCAAACCCTCCCTTCGACTCAATCCGCGAGTTCGCGCTAAAAACGATCCCCTCCGCCTCCAAGATCGAGATCCGCCGCATTCTCGAATCCCTCTACGGATTCGAGATCGATGACGTCCGAACCCTGAACATGGAGGGCAAGAAGAAGAAACGGGGCGGTTTCCTCGCTGCCAAACCCGATTACAAGAAAGCCTACATTACGCTGAAGAACCCGCTGTCGATTTCGCCGGAACTGTTTCCGATTCCGTGGGTGACGGAGTCGATGAAGGAGAAGGTGGGGAAGAGGGCGAAGCCTGCGGTGGTGGAGGAGGGAGGCGAGGACGAAGCGGGTCGGGTTCGGACCCCCAAGCATTGGTTGGGGGATCCGGTAAGGGAGGAGGGGAGGAGAGGGGATAAGACGCGGGGGGTTGGATGGAGGAGAGGAGATCAGAGGGGTAAGGGGAAGGAGGGGGAGGAGGAGGAGAAGAGTAGGTTCCCATGGAGCAGCATGCGATCTTGGAGGAGGTAGAGGTAATGGTTGAGTTTGTTTATTTTCGTTTTGTTTCCATTTGGTGAAAATTTTGATGTTAATTTTGATTAGTTTTGGTTGAGCGAAGCTATGTCAATATGGGTTTCATATTTATCTGGGCTTTTGATTTGAGATGGAGTTGAAGTGTGGAGGGATAGGTTATATTATAACCAAATAGGTGTTTGTTCAAATTCCCTACGATCGTTTGTCTGATTTATCATTGTTATTTGGTTTTAGTTTAGTAGAAGTTCAAGCTAGCTCGATTTCATTTGGTGGGGACAGGGGGATACGGGTTTATGTTTATCTAAGTTTTTTATATGGGATGAAATTGATACATGGAAGTTGGATTACATTATGACCTGCTAGGTGTTTGTTTAAACGTGTTTGATTTGTTGCTTCTTTGTGGGTTTTCTTTTTTCTGCTTATAGGCATAGGTTTCGGGAGCCCAAATCACTTTCCTTTTGTGCCTGTCTTGTGACCTCTTGAATCATTTGCATAAAGTGCGTATGTAGCATCATGCAACAGTTTCACAGTATAAGAAGAAAAAGGGGATTCTGAATTGGATTTGTGTACGCTACACTGAAGTTGTGCTTATAGCAATAACTGGATTCAGAACATAGTAAAAAGACTGGTTACGCCATATTTTAATTTCCACTTTGATGGTTTGAGGAAGGGAATTTGCCCTCGTCTGAATCTTTTTCACAATAGGTGATCAGCACCTCGCGCCTTGTATCACATGCATTAGGCGATCATCTGAGGCGCCAAAAGGCGCTCGCCTTAGTAACATCACATTGGTGATGATTGCTTGCCTGATGTTCCATGTACAACGATAATCAGTGTAATTATCTCATGAGTTTCTTGGCACAACAAAAACCAGTTTAAATTTTGAATAGCATTGTGATTGTGTTTTTCCTCTGATGAAATGTTTCAGATTATTTCCATAGTGTAAGATCGGTATTAGCAATAAATGTTAAGGTATTCTACTTGTTAGCATTAGCATTGGCAAAGTGTTGAAAATTTCACCATCTTTTGTAACCTGCATTGATGCATTGATTCTTTGACAAGAGAATGATACTTGTACCGGACATGTATCTAATGCGATTCATGTTGATGCTTACGGGTTCTTGTCTGGATACTTCCTTGGAGATCCAGCATGCTATGTTTTAGGTAGTGTATATAAATTGAGTAGACTCGTTTTAACCTTGTTATGGTTACAGATTGAGCATCATATTGAGTTTATGAATTGGCATGTAGTATATTACAAATTTATTTGTATACAGTTAACAGTACGATGTTCATGATTGGATTGTTACTATTTGCTATATATATTCAGTAGAACATTACTTTACCTCTATATCCATGATGCACATCTTTATTTTATCGTATGCGGTGCTCGTACCGTTACCATGCAACCTAGGTAACTGGTAGTGGTCTGTAACCCTCGTGAAGCTCTGGGGCAATGTTAGGAAGTTTTTTTTATCTGACTTAATGTTTTGGCTGATTGTCGGTTTCCTTACATTTGTGGATTAATAGTTTAAATCACTTTCTTTTTAGTGCTGTTATTTACTCTGATGTTAAAGATTTTGGCAGAAATTTAAGTCTAGCTAAATGGTTTCATTTGATTAACTGATTGAATTTAGTCTATCTTCAAGCTAATTATCATTAGCTATTTAATAGAGGTTGCTCAAATAGCTTTTATAAAAACATGATGGATGTGGTTTTCAAATAGCTTTTATAAAAACATGATGGATGTGGTTTTGAACGAAAACTTGACTACTTTTAATGCTGTCAGCTGTAGTTTTGAAAAATCACTATTTGAAAGTACACCTGGTAAGATAATATCACCTAAAAACTTAAACTAAATAAGATAACTCGCTTTAATTTTTTGCAAATGTAATTTAAGTTGTTACTAATCATGATAATCTAAACTCAAGTTTCATATCAATTTGAGTATTCTTAAGAAATATTTTCCTATGTCAATAATGAGGTCACAGATAAAATTAGTTATCAAGTCAAACTAATGTTAATAATTAAGTAGTTTTTGCTTCATTTTTTATTTAGCTTTTTGTCTATGCATTTCGGTTTATCATTTACCTGTATATCAATATAAGCATCAGCAATCTAAGTTGGGTGATGGGCTTGTACGAGCAGGGTCGGATTAACATTTATGCCTAGGACTTGATAACATTCTTGAATAAAATCTGTTATATTCTCTGGCTTTTTTAGTGGATATAAGGATTAGGATCAAGAGAGCTGTGCCACATTTTTCGTTAAAAAGAAGGATTCATTGAATCATGAAATACAGGGGAAAATGCATAAAGCAGGGACTAAGATTTAAGTGCTGTATTTTGAGAATTGGAGGGGTAAATTACTCGGAGGCGGAGCTACGGAGTAGCCATCAGGATATTTGATTACAGAGGAGAGTTCTGCTAAAAGAAGTTTTGAGGAGGATGAGAATGGTTTTTGGAACTTGGAAGAACCTGATTGCCATTCACAAGAGCTAAGACTTGGCTTCACTGGGGGTTGCAAATGCTTTACCTAATAAATAATTCCTAGACACCCGGTGAACAATGCAAACATGAGAAACCACAAGATTGACTATGACTTACTTTATTTCTGACATAATATGGTTTATTGTTTGAGAATGACTATGACCCCCCTAGTGGCTAATGAAACCTGGTCTGTTTGTTGTTGATAAATTTGCTCCATTATCCTCTGTTCATTGTTCTTCCATCGAAGAGAAGATAATGGTAGTTCACAAGCTTTTGACAAGATCAACTAAGGAAGTCTTGCTTGGACCTAGCTCCAGTTTATGGTAGTTAACAGGCACACAGTAATCATTGCCAAAAAAGAAACTAGAAGAATTACATAAATTCATCTTTTATCGTTTAAAAAATGGAACCATGTGATCAACTTCAGCTATTCTTGTTGTCATTGTTGACCCCATGGAAATTATCTGACGAGGATCGTGTGTACACTAGTGTCATATGGACCATAGAAGATGCTACAATTTAGCTTTTGCTCATTTGCCTGACCATGCTTCATTTGCTTTGGTTTCTCCTTTTTATTACGCTCTTAGGAGTCATTTCCTGTGCTTAGGGGATATATCTGTTAGTACTCCGACCCATATATTATTAACGGCTGCTGTTAAATAAAAAACCAATGAATTTGTTGTCTGAAAGTTTCATGCGTTTTCTCTTTCTCTTTGAAGCAGACTTATCATAGTGTGAAGTTGTCTTGCATGTGATACTCCGTCTTGCAGGTGTAAAGCCTCTTTATATATCCTTTGTCTTTCTATATTTTCTTTCCTTTTCCTTGTTTTAAAACACAAACTTTATCTAAATACTGCTGGGTTCACCTATTTCCTTCTCTTTTTGCTTTTTCAGATTGACTATTCCCTTTCAGCCTTTCAGATTTGATCCAAATCATCTTGTCAACTTGCTTAAGTGTATTCTTGCCTATTCCCCTTAGGCCCTTACCTGCAGGCCTGAATATTCATCCTAAAACGAAAATCCGTTACAACAGCCAGCCACAATCTTGTCTCCATTAGATAACCTTCAACAATCATGCTGCAGCCCAACAGCCATCTATATTTATGAACTTTCCTTTCGTTGGATGAACATCAAGTTCAGTCCTTGCCACTTTAGTGGAAACTTTCTCAATGCCAGATGTGAAGCACTAATTTCACCATTCCGAAATGCAATCTTATTTGGAATTATTTGCTTGTTATTTTAGGTTAAATATCTTGTCTGAATGGTGTATGCATATTGGGTTTAAGACATTATTGCATCTGTCTGTGCTTCTACGTCTTTGATTCAATTAGTAAACATGCATTTTGACATCAATTTGTATAGGTTTAGATCGCTTCCTGTTGGGATATACTAGGGGTCTGCACTTGCATGATTGCATCTGTGTAATTGTTAGCCTTTTTCTTGCCCTTTGATCCTTGTAGTCTAATGTTGAATCATGTTTGGTGTGAAAACATTGGCTAGATCAATCATTGCATGCAATAACAACTAACATGGTGGCAGTGAATTTATGACAAACATGGACACTAAGAAACATGATGATCTTTTGTTAGACATTTATTTGATGCTATAGTTCTTTAACAATGACTGGAAGCACGTGAATGATGAGTTTAAGACACTTATAGCCTTCAAAGATAAATTACACATGGGCATCCTCACCAAGAGGATCATAATACCCTTTAGAATTGTAGAGATGGTCAGAATTGTGCCAGTCGAGGTCATAGATTCCAGATAACCACAAGGAATGGGCGATGAGGTACGTCATCACTGTAAAACTGGCATCACTAGAAAGGTCAATATATCGATCATATCTTATGATGATAGGTTCAGCTCAAGCCTTTACTGATTGATAGTAAATATAAACTAGTAATTTGGTCAGAATTGTGCCACTGGAGGACCCTGTAGAATTGTAGAGATGGTCAGAATTGTGCTGGTCAAGGTCATAGATTCCAGATAACAAGAAGGAATTGGGCAATGAGGTATGTCATCATTGCAAGGTTGACATCACTAGGAAAGTCAAGATAGCGATCATATTTATGATGGTAGGTATGGCCCCTAAGCCTTTACCAATTGTTAGTAAATATAAACTAGTAATTTGGTTAATATGACATATCTGATGGTCGTAGAGTCTTTTCCCTATTAGGCCAAAATTGTTGGGTTTTCATATGGTGACAATAGTCAAGATTAGGGTAGGATTCTTTCAAGGATATAGGACAAGTTGAAAGTGAAATCAATATAGAAGTATCTTCCTACAACCTATAATGATCAAAGTGTAGACAAGTTTCTACTTAGATCTGGAGAGATTGTCTGTACAAGAGTATATAAAGAAGTCCAAGCCTGAAGGACCTTTTAGTATGGAATGATGTTCATTAAGTATGTTGGGATTACATTTTTACAAGGTTGATTAGTGATCCTAAATATATATAATTTACATTTTATATGCTTAGATTTCATTAAGTATGTTGAGATTACATTTTAGTGCATTATAATATATATGTAAATATTCGTTATGGCATTTTGATATTTAGTACATATCCCCGATATTTCCCTATATCCGTAATCGGATATGAATTTTGGCCATCCGACATTTCTCCGATATTCGATATTTAAAACCTTGGTCTACATCCCTAAACAGGGTGTTAGTAATACTGAGGAGTGAGGATGTATTGGAGGATTCTAGCTTGTGCTATTAGGGGTATGCTTCTGATACCTAGTCGCTAGTCGGCTGGTCAAAATACTATTTTATTAGCAAGTGGTATGTGAAATTAAGAGGTAAAAGGTTTAATTCTTAGTACAAAAGAATTTCAAGAATCTTATAATCCTATGTTTGTCAAAAGTACTAATGTCGATAGTTCTAATGGATAAGGGAACTATCTCTTAGCGTCATTTTCAACTTTGTTATTGACTATGTTAATGAAACAATTAAGGAGGCCATGTAGTACCTGTGTTAGCCATGTTATAGCCGAATCATCAATTTGATTCTTAATTGAGTTTATTTTTCCCTTATGCGTACGAATCCTGTAAACATTATAACATATTTGTACGGTAAGTATTGTTATAATTTTTTTATTACAAGTCAATTTAGAGGTTGTAAGGCAGCATGTTTTTTAATTGGATAAATTGCTCTCAACTATATGTAATGATTGTCGGTGGATTCAGTACATGTGGTATTTGTGATTGTATATAGCGGAGTTGATATAGTGGTGCCTTAGAGTACGTAGGTTTTGCTTCAATACATAACTTACTTAAGCAGACATGTTGCAGCATCTTTGACTTACCCCGTATGATGTTTTCCTATTATACTCTAGGATATAATGTTATTGACCTCATATATCGAGGTCATGTTAGAAAAAGGTTCCATACTAGATTGTAGATATCGGCGATATATCAGGGCTATTTTTTAATTATCAGATTTTCATATTGAATAGAGAATATACATATCATAGTGAACTAAACAAAATATAAACATACAAAATGTAAAATCATGAGATACAACACAAGGAGTTGAGGGAGAGGCAGTGAAAAATCGAGAAAAGAGAGGGACTTGTTGCAGCAAGTATTCGTATGTTAAGGGGTAACAAGCAGTTAAGAGTAAAGAGACTCGACTCAAATATGTGAGGCAACACATTAGATAGAGCACTAACTCTCCTGTTCAAAAATTATATAAAGCAAGTTTAGGATTGGATATCGCTCAATTGAGCCATATGCTCAAATCCAACCTTTAAAACAAATATCAACCCAGAACCTACTACGATCCTATTTCTTGTTTTACTTCAAACATGTCACTATACATATCGGGATAACCCTAAAATGTCACCGGACAGATCAAAAAATCCCGACTAATAATTTTTCAAAAACGATAAATGACATGTAAACCTATCTCCTTGCAGCAAGCCTTGTCAAATGACATTTCAGTCTCTATAATATCGCTAGATGATTTTTAAACAGTGCTCTAGATATTCTAGCTGATATAACAAGAATTATCTCAGTTTTTGGAACCATATTAGAAAATGCAAATAATGTATAATTGTTTTCTTATTCAAGTTTTATGTGGCTCCAACCACATCTGGATCGAAGTACATAGGCATCATTCCGTAATCATCATAAATTTATAATTGTATGACCGGAATGCATCCTCTTCTTGCTTTTGTCACAATGTTGAAAAACAAGTGTAGTATAGAAGTACACCTCCTTTATAACTTAAAAAAACATATTGCTTAACACATAACATAAGTTTACATGTTTTATTATCTTTTTACCATAAAATGAATATAACTATGTCCATAATAATTTTAATGAATAGTACAGATTTCAGACTATAGAAAATGGTAAATTGCAGATAACTCCCCATCATCTATACTTTCAGTAGAAATTGACACCCCCTCAACTAATTTCTTAGCACTTACATCCCCTCAATTCATGAACAAAGGGGTGTTATTTGCAATTACCTTCTAAAAAATGGAGATTCAGGTGTGCTAAGTGGTAATATATTGGTTGAGGGGGCGTCAAGGGCAACTGAAGGTATAGCTAAGAGGGCTCATCTGTAGTATACCCCGTAACAATTTTATTAATGTAAAATTCCAAAATTTAATACATTCTATACTAATTTAAAAAAAAAAAAATACTGCAATAAATGTTCAAATATACCATAACAAATTTACAACCATCTCTTTCATAGTTTTACATTCACTTCATTTTTCACAAATCTTAAGCACAATCACAAGCATAATGATGTCACCAAGTGTCAATAATGACAATGCAAGAATCCGTCCAGGCTTAACAAATAACCCAAAAGTAAATACTTCACTACTTCAAGACTTAAACAAAGCAGACAAAAGAAATTGACTTAAACAAAGGAGACAAAAAAATGACTTAAACAAAGCTGAAAAAAAATTCTCAAGCCTCTACTATAAATTATTCTTAAATAGTGTACATTACATTGAAATTGTGTATGTTATCTATATTAGCGCAAGGTTACGATGTGTCTATGAGTTATCCAAAGCTTAACAAGTAACCCAAAAGTACACAATTAACTATGTTAAGTCTTAAACAAAGCAAACAAAAAAATATGCTCATGCCTCTACTATAACTTGTCTTTAAATAAACATACGTTATATTGAAATAGTGTATGCTACTTATTGTAGCCTAGGTTACTCGAACACAACGTTTTGGATGCCGTGTCCAGCACGTGTCGGACATGAACACGGTGCGGCGACACGCCAAGCAAACCCCGGTTTCCCTATTACTTATACTCCAAACGAGTTTATTTGGTAATATTGGGTTAAAGACCAATCGGTTTTTGAACCGGAAAATAGAAACCCTTTACTTAAATATTTCAAAAATAGCCATCGTATTATCCCATCCGATCAAAACTAAACTTTTATTGTTAAACCTTATTCTTAACTTAATTTAACTTTATTCTTAATTGTTACAAATAATAGAAAGGAACATACACATGTTAGAGGTATTTTAATTCAATATTTGACCTAATGATAAGTCGTGTCCCCGTATGCTACATTTTACAAATTTGTCATGTCCTGTGTCCGTAACCATGTCCGTGTCTGCACCCTTATCCGTGCTACCTAGATTGTAGCAATGTTTGAGTTGTTTCAAAGTGTTACATAATATTTAAGGTTTTTTTTTCTTTTTTTCTTTTTTTGTTGCATTACATACTTGAAATAACGAGTTACACCACTTTTTTTCAACATTGATTTGTAATCGTGCAAATGAACGCGCATCTTATTCGTAGATTTTGACATTTCATAGTTATCTATCTTCCTTTCTCAAGGTTACCGTTCTCACTCAACATTAGCATGCTGTCTTTTACAACTAAATCAATGAGTTGCGAGTTCTGCTATGGGCCACACAATGCCTGGTATCCATCCATCATTTACAACTAGGACTGCTGGAGTATCTAATCCCATTTGCTCCCCTCGCTTTAATCTCTCAGTGTCGGTGTCGGCCCAACAGAGTGCGTTCACCTTCCTAATCTCTATGCATTTCTCCCATGTTTTCAGATGTAACCCATAAGGGTTCCCAGTTCTTTGTATGTGAAACTTTCTGAGGGTCTTGCGAAGTTTAAATAGGCGCAATTACTTTGGCTCATCAACAGGAAATACTTAGAATTAGTAAGAAATAATAAAATTATACACCCTCTTAAGTGTCAACAAGAAGGTCAAATTATCTATTAGCCATACACTTATATCACGGAGATGTGACGTGTCAGGCACCCTGCTGGACAGAAGAATCATGAGTGTATTTGTTCTATTTTTCCTCATGTCACACATCAGTGTATTTTTAATATTGGTCGTATATCGTTGACTCGTGTTCATTCTCGTTTGTTCAAGTCTATGCAACATAGCAATTATTATGTCTGTGATAGATTTTGTTGAACGTGAGCGTGGCTCCATCTGTGAGTCACTGTTCTCTATTTTAGAAGACCACAAATTTGTAAATTGGCTATAATTTTGTCATGACAGGATGAACTTGGTGTACAAGACTGTTGATAATATTTAGTTGAAAAAAAGGATTTCTAACCCTTGGTATTGTTTTTCCCACCTCTTAAAGTTGTGTGAGTTATGTGTGTGACAAATCACGCCTTATTTACGACATACTTAAAGTTGTGCTGGTATATGATGATTTAGTGTTTGATAATATTTAGATGAAGGGGAAAAAAGACTGTTGTACAAGACTGTTGATAATATTTAGATGAAAGAAAGAATTTCTGATCCTTGTTATTGTTTTTCCCACCTCTTACAGTAGTGTGAGTTATCTATCTGTGTGACAAACCATGCCTTATTTACGACATACAAACTTTTACTTATTCTTCCTCTTGCTGGTATTGATGATTTAGTGTTTGTAGACGGTCTCACCTTATGTTTATCCGTACTCTTCTTTATAGGCGAGGGATTGTATGCGTGAAGGCTTAGGATGGTGGTCAAGCTATTACTACTTATTGAGTTTGCAGGTGATGCGACCTGATGAAAAGTCTTCCTTGTCGATGAGGTGCTATTATTGCATCATCAGGTAAAATCACTTTGTCAAGTGACTATGATACTCAAAACAACTCCCAGCTTCAGATCTGTCAATTGCTTGCCGAATTAGCTCGAACTTTTACTTGTATGGCTTATCGCTTATCTCTCGTGTTCCTTTTGAATATTGATGTTCTAATACTTGGATTGAGATATCATGCTTAGTCATTGATTAGCTGTAAGTTGCTTCATCTTGCTATGCTGTTTTCATAATCCGAAATCGATTGCAGGATATTTTTCAAGCCGTGCTCAGTTTACTTGCGTATAGAGTTGATGCAGCAAATTATGGATAAATATATTCAATGGTGCATCTTGCCTTTTCTGTTGAATGTGAATGTAATGTTTAAGCCGTGTATTTCTTTGTGTGGCCTTGGTCGCTGATAGGAATTACTAATTGTGGATGCGACTAACTGGTTCTTGTCTCAGACTATTACTTAGCGAATGAATCAGTATCTTGGGCTCCACGGCAGAGCAGTTGAGACTTTGAACTAGTACCAACTTCTTGCAAGCTCAAATAGAAGTCTGTTATTATAAGGACCATTAGCTAGCTAAGCTGCGGATCGTACTATACTGTCTACAAACGAGAGGGAGCAGCTAAGTCTGAATCGAGTAGAACGCACGAGTGAAGAATGAGTGCAGCCGTACGACGGACGGGAGAGTTACGAAAGAGTGATTCAGTGACATGCACTTCACCGATAATCTAAAAGGTCACTAAATACCCGTCATCTAGCTTAACATGTGTTTACTAATCAATCTCATGCTTTGAGATTAGTCCCTTAGCTTACTGAAATTGCATTTGGGTCCGGCAATTGTAAGTTTTACTTCGGAGTTAATCCCTCAAAATCACCGAAACCGCTATTGTGACCCATGCTCTAACGACCAACTCTCCACTGAAGGGGTCAATTTCAAAATAACTTAAAAATTAGATGACTCAACAACAGTTGATCTGAGGGACTAATTAATTTTAAAATAACTTAACTGGTCGGGGAGCTAATAGATACTTAAGCGACTTGAGGACTAGTTTTAAAACATGAAAGAGGTAAGGGACTAATATGAAACGAAACCCCATTATTAATAGAAATGTTAGCGATCGGTTAATTAGGACTCTTGACTCTTAAATATTGAGTAATGGAGTTTCCAATAGTAATCATTACTAATGCATGAATCGTGGGTGAATATTATAAATATCAGTCAGGCCTCGGTGAGCGAAGTTTAAACTAGTAATCCTAATTATACTGTGCAATTTCATGTATAACAAACTGGCATGGATGGCAACTCGTTAATGATTATCTTGCGGTGTTGTTTCCTAATTTATCGAAGTAATCCCAATGCTACGTACCCCAACTAGGAATCCCATGCAGCTGCATATATATGTACGGCTATAGGCTAAGGGTTTCTTCTTCTCTGAGCGCCTCCTGCCGCTTCTTTAGTATTCGTTGTTGTTATTTTTTCCCCCAGGAAAAATCCTGGCTTCTTTCGTCGTTATAATTTGGTCCTTCCTTTGCGATCAAAAGAGAGAGTGAGGTTAATTGATTCGGTTCAATTTCAATCGCATTAATTTCATCGGGTTGATGAAGCGAGAGTTGGGGGACTGGGCGCGCGTGAGGTCTTCGCCGACCAACATATATAGAGCTCGTCGATTACTTTCTTCGGAGGAGGGTTTTGGGACTTCTCAAGCCCAATACCCAGATACAGGAATGCGACGTACGTACGTCGACAAGTATCAGCCACTCATGGAAACTACTGCAAGAGCTCTATATATATATCAGTTTCCATACAGCTAGCGGAGAGATGCATGTATTTCTGTGTCAGATGCGCTGTGCCAGCGAGAAGGAGATCGAGCTCTAAAAGGTCGAGAAGAACGGTCGATATGAAGGAGGTTAGTTTTTGGGGATCAGCCGCAAGCAAGGGCATCTACAAGAAAGAAACGAGGGATTAGTACCCCAGCTGACGTTCAAGATCGATTAAGGGGTGCCAACAACACGAAGATGACCACCCCTTGGATGTATAATAATGCACGATCAGTATCACGTTAACTCGGCAATCAATGTGTATTGCTATCTTTCAGGATAACCCACTAAAGTGATCAATTAATTTGGGTTAATGAGTATTTAAATAAATCATGAGGTTATATGTGCAGATACCAGGTTGTAATTGTGATTTGTTGAGGGGCCAAATTGTAAATTTACAACATCTATAAATAAGGGGTTATGGTCCCTAATCTAGGGTTACATTCTCTAATTCTCTTTACCCCCATCTAGAGAGAAATTTGGCTATAGAGAAACCCTAAGGTTAGAAGATCCAAAACTCATCTCAAGGTTCATCTATGGATTCAGGTATAAGCTTCCGCTCTTTTGATTCTTGTTACTCTCTTCGAATTAATCATGGCTTTATGGTTTTAGATCTTAAGTTTTTATTAGATCTAACAAGTGGTATCAGAGCCACCTTTGATTAAATCTTAGGGATTTAAGTTTTAAAATTGAGTTTTTTGATCTTAAATCTCTGGTTTTTGGATTAAGATCTGTTCCCGGATGAACAGTAACTAAAAAATCGACGGTGAACAGTAACTTTTGGAATTTTTTGGATTTTTCTTCGATTTTTTCTTGGTCTGGATCACGAAATTTTTTTCGATTCTGGATCTAAATTTGAAAATAAAATCGATGAATATTTGGATTTTTTGGGTTTAATCTTCGGTCCCATGCTCCTCGTCGGCGAAGTTTCGCTGGCGGCCTCGCCCTCGGCGGCGGCGTCGTCAGGAAACCCTAGGGTTTCGACCTCTTGGGGGCCGGAGCAATGGCTGCAGCGGTTTCAGTTTGAAACCCTAAGGGTTCGTGCGTGAAAACGTGGCGAACATTAAGGAGGTGGTTACCTCAAATTTTGGCGAAGCTGAAAGCTTCAAACGAACCTCGCGTTCGTTCTCAATTTTAACGAACTTCGCGTTCGTTCTCAGTGGAGCATCGCGCTCAATTTTAACGAACCTCGCGTTTGTTCTTAAGGTGAGCCTCGCGCTCAGGATTAAGGTGAGCCTCGCGCTCAATTTAAACGAACTTCGCGTTCGTTCTCAGGTGATCCTCGCGCTCAATTCAAGTTGAGCCTCGCGCTCAGTTCTCAGGTGAGCCTCGTGCTCAATTCAAGTTGAGCCTCGCGCTCAGCTATCATGTGAGCCTCGCGCTCAGTTCTTAGGTGAGCCTCGCGCTCAATTCAAGTCGAACTCCACGTTCATCCTCAGGCGAGCCCTGTGCTCAATCCAAACGAACCTCGCGTTCGTTCTCAACTTGAACCTCACGTTCATTTTTCAAACGAACCTCGCGTTCGTTCTCAAGTTGAACCCTGTGTTCGTTATTAGTCGAACCTCGCGTTTAATTTTCAAACGAACCTCGCGTTCGTTCTCAAGTTGAACATCACGTTCATTTTCAGACGAACCTCGCGTTCGTGCTTAAGTGAGTCTTGTACTCAATACAGTCGAACCTCGCGTTCGAAGTCAAGCGAACTTCGTGTTCACTATGGTTAAGCCTCGGCTTTTCATGGGTCCACTTTGGTATACTTAATTTATTCAATTAAGTTATGGGCCCTAATTAAGCTGTGAGACCCCAATTAAGTTTTTGGAAATTCAGTTGATTTAAATTAAATTTAAATCTAATTTGGTTTTTTAATCAATTATTTAATTCAAATATTATGACACTAAGGTATTAAGGTTGTCTCTCACTCCAATTGATTAATTGAAACAAGAAGTTGCCAAAGTAACCTCTCTTGTGTAGATTGTTCATGAGAAATGTGAGATGTTTGTGTGTATGCTTTCGTGTAAATATTTAATTGTCCCAAAGGAAGGTTAATATTTATTTAGACTGTATACACATCTGCGATGATAAGCGTGTGACAATTATAAGGTTTACATGTGAATAATGAATCGATCCAAAGATAGTTTCATTATTTGACATGAGTTATTGTCAATGTTTGATCATTGTAACAAGGTATCACTTACAAGTTAATATTACTGTCCAAAGACTTAATATTAATGTTGTGCCAGATATCTTGGATGAGATTTGTCATTATTTGAATTTTATTGATTATTAATTATGGTTATTGATGTGAGCATTTTTGTTTTATTTCAGCTAATGCATCTGCTGCAACAATTTCTGCTAACATCAACTCAATTCCCATGCTAAATGGGACAAACTTCAAGGTTTGGAAAGAGAACATATTAATTGTTCTTGGCTGCATGGATCTTGACTATGCATTAAGAACTGAACAACCCCAACCTCTCAATGCGGATAGCACTCCTGATGCAAAGAAGGAGCATGAGAAGTGGGAGCGTTCAAATCGCATGAGTCTTATGATCATTAAGCGCGGCGTTCCGGAAGCCTTCAGGGGCATAGAATCCGAAGGGATTACTAAGGCTAAAGATTTCCTTGCCGAAATTGAGAAGCGTTTTGCGAAAAACGATAAGGTAGAAACAAGCACGCTTTTAGCTCGCTTGATTTCAATGAAGTATAAGGGCAAAGGAAATATCAGGGAGTACATTATGGAAATGTCTCATATTGCTTCAAAGCTTAAGGCACTTAAACTCGATCTTTGTGACGAGTTATTAGTGCATCTGGTTTTGTTGTCTCTTCCTGCACAGTTTAACCAATTTAAGGTCAGTTATAACTGTCAAAAGGAGAAATGGACTCTAAATGAGCTCATTTCATACTGTGTGCAAGAAGAAGACAGGTTGAAGCAAGATAAGACAGAAAGTGCTCATTTGGCCTATGCCTCTAAGGATAAGGGCAAGAAAAGGAAGAATGATAAGGAAGCTGCTAAGGGTCCAGTTGAGAAGAAACAACATAAGGATAATCAGGGTTGTTTCTTCTGTAAGAAGCCTGGACATGTAAAGAAGGACTGTACAAAATATCACGCCTGGCGTGATAATAAGGGTACGTTCCTTGCTTTGGTCTGTTCTGAGGTTAATTTAGCTTCAGTACCTAGAAACACTTGGTGGTTAGACTCTGGTGCTACTACTCACATAAGTGTTTCTATGCAGGGTTGCCTGAGCTACCGAAAGCCAAGTGATGTTGAAAGACACATCTTTGTGGGCGACGGACAATCGGTAGATGTGGAAGCAATTGGGCACTTTAGGTTGTTGTTAGGAACTGGTTATTATTTGGATTTAAAAGATACTTTTGTAGTACCGTCTTTTAGACGGAATTTGGTTTCTGTTTCTGTATTGGACAAATCAGGTTATTCTTGTTCATTTGGAAACAGT